ACACACACACACAGATAGTACGATCTGCTGTTTCGTTATTTAAGAATTCCACAGTTTACATAACATCGTAAATCTTTTATTCAAATTTTGCAGTAAACTTCAAGTTAACGGTATAGCACAAAAGATGTTGAAAAAATAAACAAAACAAAAAAAACTAAAAAAAAAGAAAAAAAATAAAATAACGAGGAAAGAGAGGTGAAAAGTAATGTTTTTTTTTTGTAGTTATTTCACTGTATAAAAAAAAACTAAAAAATGTTGTCAAAGATGATGTAAATTTGATAAATTTTGATGTTAGCGATTGTAAACTTTTAGCGTTTAGACGTATACGTCTGTAAAACAGAGGCTGCTGTACGGGCTTTTGCTAACTAAATTATTATTTCAATTTTGATCAAAGATCAGTTTTGAACATAATTTAATGAATCAATAGAAAGCCTGATCAGTGGTGAAAGTGCTGTTGTCGTTGCTGCTTCTGTTGATGGTAGTTCTATTAATGGCGTTTTTTTTTTTTCTGATGCCAACAGCTCATCGTCTCTTTTCAGATGACTGTCGTCTGTTGCTGCCAAATGAACCTAACGGTTGACACGGTCTGAAAACAGCAGCTTTATCGATGATTATTTTGACCGTTTGAAACAGATGTCTAATGTGGGCTGTAGTAAAAAGCGTTTGAAGTTTATGTTCTTAGATAGCCATTTTGTTTGTTTCGACTTTGGTTGGAACTGTTGTTGTGTATATGGACAACAAAGAAACTTTGTCAAGTTTAATCAAAGTTTCGCAAGATTTCAAAAGTAATTGCTTTTTTTTTTTTTCCTTTTGACTAATATATTTTTTTTGCAAATGGTTCGCTTATATTGCTTGAAGTTTTTAAATTCAATTTAAAATATTAGTTTTTGGTTGTAATTTTTTTTTTTTTTTCAGTTTTCCAATTTGTTTTTTCTCTATTTTCGTTATATATCGTAACCGAATTGAAATTGGAGAAGCGAAGGGAGCGACAGAAAAAAAAAAAAAGAAAACGATAAATCTTCTATGATAGATCGACATTTTGAATTGATTTAGAGCAAAAAAATTTTGGTTCTATTTCAAACAGTTCTTTTTTTTTTTTTTTTTTTCTTAAACTTGAAGGTTAATTGTTTTGCTTTCACCTCTATGTTGATTTTTTTTTTCTGTTTGTTTGTGAGTGTGTTTTTTTATTTTTTATTTTTTTTGCAATTACTACTAATTTTTCTTCTTTTTTTTTTGCTTTTTTGTGGGGTTTAGCTTTAGTCTGTTTGCTGTTGCTTAAAGAAGGAGATTTTAACATTCTCCTTAAAGGGCAACACAACAAACTATATTTGTAGTTTAGGTGCACAATAAAATTTTTTCAAATTATTTTTGTCGTTGTTAATAAAACTTATATCACTTTTTGAAAAGCGCTTTTATTATTCAGAAAAATGACAAAAAAAAAGTATATTTTTGACATTTTTAAAGGTATCTGTATGCCGAAAAGGTTGTTCAATCAATCATTTTACTCACTGTGCACTTATAGCCCTTATTCATCATTGCTGCACACAAAAGCAACTAGATCAATCAGTGGCCTACCAAAAACAGGCGGATTCTGTCATGCAAAAGTTGATGATCTCCCACTGTTATTAGCCCTGTTCAGCAGTATTTTTATGCAAAATTACTGCTGCTGCTGCTGCTGCTGCTGCTGCCGGTGGTGGTGGTAATGTTGCTGACTGCTGTTGCTACTGCTGAGGAAGGTGAAATGGTGCAGGCAGTCAACTTTTTCCTAAGTGTTCCAAAACCAGCTTTCATAGTCAGTCGGGCAGTTTCGTATGGAGGCTTAAAAAAGAAGAAGAAACATTTCTCCAATTATTTCAGTATTTACTGCTCCCCTTCCCCTCTCTGCTCGCCCCCCTCCCCCCCAGTCAAAAAAATTCATCGGCAATTTTTGTGGTTTCTTCCATGAATCATTTTTGGCATTTGAAAACTACGCTTATGTTTTTTTCCTGCTCGGCGCTTTTGCTTCACTATAACAACACCCCGTTTTTATTTGTCTTCCGCTTTCGTTTAACGTTCCTCTTCAGCTCTTTTTTTTTTTTTTGTTGTTTTTATAATTCTGTTTTTTTCTCTTTTTTTTTTTTTGTAAATTTGTAACCTTTTTGGAGGAGACTTTTCTTATCACCTGTCAACTGCAAAATGCTTTAATTAATTTAGCTTATCAACAGCTTATTTTTAACTACTTATTGTTTTTGACACTATTAAGTTTGAGTTTATTAACAACACCACATAACATCTTTTTGATCGCAGTTATTGGATCAAAAAAAGAGCGTTAAAACTGTAAAAAAGCCCAAAATTGATATCAAAAATTAAGGGTTCTTTATGGCTGATGACAAAATGATAGCTTTTTTTTTTTTTTTCGGTATGACAAAACAGGTTTGTGGTCTTGCAATTTTGACATTAAAATTTTTCAACTGTCTATTTTTTGATTGGTTACTAAAATGTCATGTATTTTTTGATTTTCAAAAACTGTTCATTTTTGTTACTTTTTAGATAATCTTTTTGTTGCATTTGTTTATTATCAGTCGTCTTCTTTGATCAAATTTAATTTTGCGGGGAAAATACTGATGACTAAGCAGTGGTATAATAATGTTTCTGTTTATTATTTGTTTGATAGTAAAAAAACCAGTAAAAATTTTTCTTAACTGTACTTTGGTGGTAACGAATTGTTTAAAACTATTCTATAAAAATTGAATGACTTTTGTTGTTTGTAACGTTTGATCAGGTTTTTTTTTACCCAAACAACAATGTTTCTCCAGCATCATCACTTCAACAGAATGTTTTGGTCAGATGTTTAAGCTTTTCACCGTCGGTACCTTAACCTTTATCTTTACCAGTTTTTCCTACGATAACTTTTATTCTGTTTTCTGCGCTATGTTCACTTAAACCTGCAATCTCACTAATGATTTATCAAATTTTCTGAATGTTCGATCGTCAAGAATTTTCGCATAGATTTTTTTTTTTTTGTTTACCGATTGTCGCTGTTGTAGACACTAAAATGACTTCGGAATTGCACACTGTTTTATTGGAACATCTGGAAAATGATGCACAACCACTTCACGAAGCTGAAGCTGAGCTTTGTTTAGCACAACTTCGGAATATGAATACAATTTATACTACCATAATTGAGGTTTACACTTTAGTTACTTTACTAATAAACTTTACACTTGATCAGTTTATTACCTACACTAGCCCAATGACTTTTGTTAAACAACTTTTACGACGGTTAATGTTAGAGCTGTCAAAAAATAAAGCATAATAATTTATAGTGACATTTCAATATTGAGGTAAAACCAGTGAAAAAAATTTTTCACAGTTACGTTTTATTCGTTTATGCAAAAACTGTAGTTTTTGCACTTTTTTGGACCTGTTTAACGGCTTTTTTTTTTTTTCATTATAAATGTTCATTTCATTTTTCAAATTGGAATTTTTAGAAGAAACAAGCTGAAATGAAGTATCAAAAGTACGTTCTGGATGCAGCTCGAACTTCTGAAGAAGCACAACGGGCTCGTCTTGAATTACGCGCTATGCAGAGTAAATGTGTTGACCTGTATGCCTACTGGCTCAAAGAGCTTTTGGATATGCAAGTCTCCTATGATAAACGAGCGTTTACCTTACATCAGATGCTATTTGGCAACTGTCAATGGTTTTTGGCAAAATATGGGTCATTAAGTCAGTAAAATAAAAAAATTTTTTTTTTCTTAAATATTATTTTTACGTATATAAATGCAATTGCAGCATAGCATTAAACAATTCATGGATTAATCATTCATTCTGAAATGTCTGTCTGACAATTTGTTTTTTAATCAAATTAGCAGATTTTTTAATGGAATGATGATTAAGTCAAACAGAATTTTTTTTTTTTTTTGTGTTGAACAATAATGGTGAATTATTTGTTCTGTAATGGCTGGATAGTTTTTTTTTTTTTCGGTGATTTAGCCACTAATTGTTGGTGAAAACTAAAACACAAAGATAACATTTTTTTTATTTTCTGTGTTAATGTCTAAAATTTTCAAAAGATTTTTTTCTGCTTAAATCTAACATAATTGTAAAAACAATGGTTTAAAAAATGAAGTAGATTAGGCAATTATTTTCAGAAACAAAAGCATCACCGGCATGTAAAACGTCTGAAGAAGGTTATGATGAAGCAATTGCAGCTTATGATAAAATATTTGCAATTCTTGGTGATGACTTACCGACATGTAATGCATTTTATGTCTTTCTTTTAAAGAAATATTCACAATTGGTATTGGATGCACGACAAGAATCTGCTGGCAAAAAAAAAGCTAACGATAACACTTTTGATAATTTACAAAATGGTAAGTTACTCCTTTCTCTCTTAAATTTGGTTGACGTCAAAAACAGCGTCTGCTTTTAGTCTAACATTTAGCATAGTTTAATCTGCTTTTATGAACTTTTTCTTTAGCTGATAACTGTGATTCAATTCCAGTTATTTTGTCTTTACCAATTCAATGGTATAATTAGGCTACGTCATTGGGTAAACCAGTCTTGATGCTAAGCTGACTAATGACCTGGCAAATTTTTAAATATTATTTGCATTAATGGTATTGTGCAAAAAAAAATTTTTTTTTTTGCAACATTAAACGAACAGTTGTTGTTGGAGAAAATAATGGATAGATGATAAAGTTTTATCTTACTCAAAATTAGCTTTAAATTGTATTCTCAATAAGAAGAAAGTGAGAGAAAAAGGAAGGGGGAAAAAAAAAAGGAAAAATTTGATTATTGTTGAGGCATAACAAATTCCGTATAACGATAATGGTCTCTGAAGTGTTGCTTTTGCCAATTGCAGCTAAAGTTTAGTTTTTACAGCATCTTCATTACCGTTCATTGATCGTTCACCAACCCTTAATGATGATACATATGACAGTGGAACATTAACAGGCTACTGTTCTTCAGCAGTAAATGAAGTAAATTAAGTTCATTTTTTTCCTTAATAGTTTTTATTTTGTAAAATATTTTTTTTTCTTCAATCTTTGTTAAAATAAAAAAAAAAGCGAATTTTTTCTCATAGTTATAATGTGAAGTTTGTATTCAAAAAAAATGATGATGGCATAGAAATTAGTTGGAGGTTATTGATGACAGTTAGTCATCATTTTATTTGTTTGTACTCTGTTCAACAACACTGTTTTATGCCGTCATTTATTGTGGCTTTTTGCTTGATAAAAAAATTTAATACTACAGCTGCAGATCTGAGTACAGTTTTTATT